ATAAAATGTAAATCTCATTCTAAATCCTAAATCTCAGTGGTAAATATTTGTTTTAGTTCAGTGAACCAGCACCGCACATATTTATTTTTCATTGGTGTATCCAGGGGATGCAATTTATCAAATGCACATAAACAGTCCATTTGCTGCTTTATCTTTTCTCATTAGTTACAGTACAAGTATGATTGTCAGTTATTATCTGTGTTTTGCTAGTGGGTTATTTATTGAAAGAGCAGAGCAACTGACATTGTTATTTTCTGAATCAGTTTGTCTGAGGCCTGCAGGACTTTATACCAAATGTCAGACCAATTTATCAAAGAATCACTCTATTTGGGAAGAAAGTGATTTCGAGTGTATAAACATATACGCACCTGTATTTACACACACTCCAGTAACAGTAATGGGGGTTACCCAGGGATACAGAGATGCTAAAGCTGCAACAGCTTACTTGCATTTTATACAGTTGGGCTAGGACTGACTGACTGTGTGCTTATTACTCACTCCTGGTCGAGACAGACGAAGCTCCCATTTATTTTCTAGGCTGGTATTTTCTATTATCTCAGGTAATCTTCAGATGAAACTGCAGGGTTCAAAAAACTTAGCTAAAATATTTATGAAGGAGAAATGATCTGTTTCATGTTAGCTAAGTGTCTTTGATTTGTAATATCTGAAGCTGTAAGGCAGGTGATATATTACATCACCTGCAGAAGCCAGAATGAAGCAGCTGGGCTTCCCACATGGCACTCTGCCACCCCACCCCTCCTCCGCAGGGTCTGCCTGGGCAGCCTCCGGAGCTGCGATAAGCACCTCTTGAAAGGCAAACCCCTGGGGAGTGTTCTGACTAAATTGCATCAGCCATTTTGGGACCGTGGGGCAGTGGAAGAAAAAGTCGGGGTTCCCGTTCAAAATGGGCCTGAACCGTATGCCTCCCAGCTGGTCACGGGCACGCACGGTGAAGGCACATGCCCACTCAAAGTAAAGCGGGGATATTTTTGCCTCATTTTATGTTAGGGTGGATTAAAGGTTTTATTGCAAAATGCCTTATAGAGCAGAATGTTCTTCGGCATATATGAAAATATATACACATAGATTTATTAAATTATGTATTGATACATTCTTATTAATATCTTATAATATATGTGTCATATACAGATTTCCTTCCCGTGAATGCTTATCAAAATGAATATTTCTAAAATAAATGAAAACCTAGAGTTACTGGGTGCCAGTATTTTCACAAGGTCTAATGCTATGTTAGTAAGATAATTTAGTAAGGTAAATGGAGAAATAAGGTTTTATCTACATTGATCATCTGTGGAAGATTAACAGAAAAACCAGGGCCACGATCATTCCCTGTCTGCCATTCTTCTCTACCACCAGCACTCCCTCCTTCTGCCTCACTCTGGACGTGTAAAGATTTGTCACTTTCTTACTATAATCTCTATGCTGGCTTTTTATGCCTTCTTATTAGGGCTTTATGTTGCCCTGGGATATTTCATGATTCCAGACATAAGTCAATATGTTCAAGTTTGAGACTGTTTAAATTTATAGGCTCCTCCAGATTTCAACAGTTGGGTGACTTCCCAAAGTGTTGGGTAATTTCCATTTACGAAGCAGCGCAGTGAAGTGGAATCAGCTTTTCCCCGGGCTGCTCTCTGCCCGGCCCAGCGGCGGCCTGACGCCATCACACTGCGCGGCAGAGTCCACGAAGCCTGCGTGTGCAGTAACGCTGCCACCCTTTACTCCTCAGCCTGTCTTAGGCCCGACTAGGAGTCATTGAATTTAAAAATGACTACGTTTAGACCTGCATCTTTCTGTTTAGGTTTTAAAAATTAACAGTTGCTGTTAAGCCCTTGCAAGTCATTTTTAAAGGCTTCATCACTAGATGATAAGATGCCCAGTTAAGAGGCCAACTCAGACAGATACACATCTCCTGGCTACTTTGATCTGACACATCTAACATGCTTTTTAGCACCGTCTGAATTTTGACAGGCCACAGCTTTATTGGGCTAGAAGGGAGATCAGAGGCGGGGGCTCCGTAAGTCCTGCCCTTTTCTGGGGCCTGGGCAGGCTCCAGGGCCCACCCAGCAGGGCGCACTTTGATCCAGGACAGCATGGAGGTGGTGCGTGGGCAGGCGGGCTACTCCCCAGGATGGGAATTGCCCCTGTTAGGAAACTGATAGAATTGTCAACAGCAGGGAAGTTGCAGCTCAGGATAGTGTAAAATATACACTATGCATTTTTATTTATTTAGATAGAAAATAAGAAAAAAGCTGGGGTGGTGTCCCCTGGTCTTAGGCCTGGAAAAATGACCAGCACTGGTATTGACAGAGTATTGGTTCAGGCAGCTGTCCTGACATTCTCTGAGCATCCGATTGTTAAGTGGGACTCGGGGATAAGCGCAGCCTCCGGAGGTGAAGCCCTGGAAGGGGGATTCTTTTACCTTTGTTCTTTCTCCCTATGGCTTTGGATGCTACCTCACCGGAAATGCCTGCAGTGTAGAGTGAGTTGATGGATTTAGCCCGTGGCCTGCTTGGATTTGCCACATGTGCAGGCCAGTCAGCCCCAGCAGGCACGGTGTGGAAGGGGATCCAGGCGTCCGGGCGTCTTGCGCTCAGGCCATGCTGCAGAATGCCCGCTAGGAAGGCCCCGCCCCCATGCTCCCTGACCATCCCGCAAGTGGGCTCTGGTACCCAGAGCGCTTCCTGATCATGGCCCCTGATATGGGGTTTCTCTCTCAGCTGTAGCCAAAACAGTTACACCGAAGATTTTTATCAGCTCCTGGGTCATTGGTTTTTGCGTTGGTAATCCACTTTCCTAAGGCCGAGCAAAAGCAATCAGATGCAAGGAATCATTTTCTTTCCCTGCTGCTTGGCCTTGCTGAGCAAGGGGCTGTTTGAAGGACCCATTTTGCATAATGAGCTTTCACTCAAGGTGTACTTTCACATTTTGGCAGCAATGAGGCAGTGATACTACATTTATTTCAATGGGTTTCAAATATTCTAATGCAGTTACCTGCTTTTAGAGGCTCTACATTTAAAACTATGATGTTCCCCTCGAAATCTGTAAAAAGAGCAATTATAGGAAAAGTGACAGGGTCCAGGACCATGCTTCAAATTCCATCCGAGTTATAAAGCATGCTGAAGTCATTAGGGAATGCTCGGTTCTTGAGACTTTTGCAAACCTCCCTCACATCAGAGAGAATGTGACATTTCAGACACACATCCTAAGTTCTCAAGGACTTCCTTGTATTAGAACAGCATATTCAAGTAGAAAGCATTTCACAGGACTCCACATTGCCACTGGACATGATGCCATCCTCTGAGGGGAAGAGGGCATCGATGGGCCACAGTGGGAAAGGTGGACGTTTTGGTACTTTTTTCTTCGGGGGTGAGGATGAGTTCACCTTGGGTTGCCGCTTCTCTTGCCCTTGTGAACAGCTGAGTGTACGGGCACCGTGCTTGTGTCTCGGGCTCAGAGCACACTGGCCATCGAGCTGAGAAATTGGGTGCTAAATTTTCCACCTACCATCCAGCCCTTACCTTAGAATCATTGAACACTGGCTGCTGAGTTTCAAACCACGTAGTTCCAATGATTCAGAATCATGGATGGAGATGTGGCAGAGGGACTGTTTGAAGCTTCCTCAGTGATATTTTAGGGCGCCACCTGAGAGACAGCCTGACGAGATGGGTGAGATGGGCAGTTACGCCATCAAATTAGAGCCACAGCAAAGGGGTTCAATTCCTGGGAGTTAAAAATAATTTAATGGCGACTCACCAGGATCCAGAGGAAACTGTTCATGTTTATTCATGCTCTGGAAAACGGAATCACTGCCCATGAAGCAATATGTTCTGATTTTACTCAATCCAGTTTCCTAAAATCTATTTAAGGGCTTAGGTGAACTCAACAAGGGTTTAATAAAGCCAGGTAATTGCACAACACAGAGGCCGATAAAATTCACAGGAGATTGTGTCAGAGATAAACTGCAGCAGGAGACAGCATGGACAATAATTTAAACTAATTGTGCACTTTGATGTAAATTAACTTCTCTGGAAGAGAAATTGAAGCCTTATTTTGGAACTCTGAAACTGTCTGCAGCATTCAGAATACCTGCCAAAAACACATATGGCAAATAATTTGGGTACAGTCAGGAGGAAATTAACTGAAAAAGGGGGCACATGCCCTAAAATGGTGTGGGGAGGAGGTACAAGGGGGAAGCCTCTGCACCCTTACAAACTTCAGTTTTGCTGACGCAGTGAGTGCTGGGGGGAGTAAAGGGTTATTGGAAGTGGGGAAGAGATTAAATGTAACTATGAATAAGGGAGTGACCCAGGCCCTTGCAATTTTAAAGTAATGAAGTGTCTAGCCTCAGAGCATAAGCGATTCCAGCTGTATGCAAGGAAGACACGGTTATCAATCAGCCGGATTGGCCAGCCTTTGCTTTTTTATCTTTACACACTGAGAACAAATGGTACAAAGCTGCATGCACGCCTGTGGTTAATTCTAGCATTTGCATGGCCCTCCGTTTTTAGGTTTTGTGAGTGCTGGAGAACTAACTGGGTGGGAACTGCGCACAAGCTACATGTCTCCATGTAGAAGAAATGTTGACAATGGAATCATCAGCTGTTACAGACAAAGAGGTGTAATCATCAGTGAGAGCAGCAAAGCCTCAGCTGCAGTGTAATTGATGGCAAACACACCTTGCGCTTTTGGAAGGTGTCTGGGTTTATCTGTCAGACTGAGGGGAGCATTGCTGCTTCCATGTGGGGCTGAAATGCTTTCACTCTTTCCAGAGTTTAATCCATGCGATTTGAAAGACAGGCATTGGAAACGTAAATTGATATTGTTGATTGCACGTTAATGTCTGTTTTGGGAAAGATCTCTAAGCTGTTATTGTTTTCCTTTGTGCTTTGGGAGGTGGAGAGAAAGGCAGCTTTTTATAAGGTTATGTGAGAAGCTTCCTGAAATCTGACCTTTGTTTTCTATTTTTTTTTTTCCTTATATAGGACGATTATTTCAGAAACTGGAATCCCAACAAGCCCTTTGACCAAGGTAAAGGATGCCATATTTCTTGCTGTATATTTCACGGGAAACGCTGTCTCACTTTTCCTTCCTTTCACAGTGGGTTATGGCTTCCATACAGGCCAGCTAGCTGTCTCGTTTTACTGACTTTAGGAACTGAATTGACTGGGTTGCTTGAAACTGTTTAATCAGATTGGTTATTTGTTTGAGATTGCCTAAAACAGATTAAGAAAGAATTTGTAATTGAATTGACCACAATAATCAATGGTTGCTTTTGTGTAAAAGGAAAAATAGTGAAATGGTTATCAGCTAATCTGGAGCATTGTTGGGCTCAATCCAGTGATTTCATCCACGGGAGCGACTGTGCCTGAAAGGCGCTCCCCAAGTCCCACGAGCCAGAAAAATGGAACTTCCTTTTTAGAAACAGGTTAATCCTGAGAGGCTTTCAATGGCACTAATATTGTTATTTGCTAAGTAAGTTTGTCATGGTTTCTAAATAGAAGCGTATTTTACAGTCGCCTCACTGACCACGTGGGTTGGAGCCTGGTCTTCAGAAGGCTCTTCCACTCACGCCACAAAGCCGGTCTCCTGAGGGCCGTTGTAAATCACCACCGGTCCTCCTGTGGCTTATTTAAGACACAGCGAGGCTACCATGAATCACGTGCCTGTTCCCATTGTTCCATGGGTGGCCGCTGCCGGCACAGACCCTGCTCGCTGAAAATGGTGGTAGGTTGTGTTTTAAGTGTGTAGATGCAATTAATGCTGACACTGGACGAGAAATATAACCACCAAGTCTCAAAGGTTCATGCTTCTGAGGATGAGTTTCAGTTCTGTAGCTTGGGTGTTTGATGGGATTGTGATGGTCAACTTGACACAAAGAAATCAAGGAAGGCATTGACCTGTAGCATGGTAGAAGGGGCTCCTTTCTGCCTTTGTCATTTTGATGGGTCACACTCTCCCTGGACTCTGGTTTTCTTATAAGCAAAATTGGTATTAAGATTCCCACATACATATATTAACACATGCCTACAAGTAGGGCAACATTCTGTTCGTTCATGCATATAAGCATTCGCTCATTCTCAAACATTGAGTGAAATATTACTGCACGCATAACCACCAAGCCAGGTTCTGGGGATCCTGCAAAAACGCAGGGTGCGCACCCTGGAGGAGCTCGGCGTGGGGAGACAGCTCAGGCAACAACAGCGGTGGGGTCTGCTGTCAGTGGCTGTGACTGAGGTTGGTGTGTGGAAGCCGTGCGTGTAGGTGGGGGACTTGTGTGTGTGTGGGGGGGGGGCGGGGGAGTATGTACCAAGGAAGACGTTCTTTGCAGGATCTGTCTGGGCTTATACTATCTTAGCAACCCCCAATTAGAGCATATGAAGGTATTTGTAATTTAGTTTAGAAACTTTCCATCAGAAATGGTCAAAATTTCTAAAAATGCCCTTTGAAAGGATGTACCTTCATTTTGGAAGAACCCTCAAATGCAGGACAGGATATTATCTGTGTCTGAAACACGCCTCTCTACAAACAGTCCTGCCAGGGTTTTGCTTATGGAGGGGCCTCAACTGACAGTGGCGGTGAACCAGAAATAGGTCTTGTCCTATAAGGATCAATATTGCCTAAAAAAACTGCCAGATTAACACTTCCCCAGGGCTTGCAAACAAATACAAGAACTTTACCCAGGGAACACATTTTTACTGTTACAAATAGACATTGGAAAGGTAATACATGAAGGTGGGCATCATTTTCCCCTTGAGGACATAAATGATAGCTTCCCTCGATGTGAGGGTTAACACAGAAACTGAGCACCAAAAAAGAACATGGTATGTACCTCTGTTTAACCGAAAAGACCGAAGAATGATGGCAGCCACTTCCAGCGGAGCCTTGTGCCTGCTCCCTCTTTTTCTAGCTTTGCAGGTTTGAAAGCCAGATCTGCTTATATTGTGTTGGCCGAAAAGTCCTTATGCTTTTTTCCGTAAAATAAAAGAAACATTTTCATTTTCACCAATAACTTTATTGATACGCATATTTTGAGTGTGTCAGCTATCTCTCGCTATTGGCTTCTAGTGGGTAGAGGCCAGGGATGCTGCTAAACACCTTCTCATGCATAAGACAGCCCCACAGCAAAGACTTATTTGGCCAAAATGTCAATAGTACCAGGAAACTTTGCAAATCACTTTTGACATATTCGATCAGTCACAGCATCTTCTCCATACACTACACAAATCTTTTTTTGCGTTTCAGTTGCATGTTTACCTTTCTTGAAATAATAAAGCATAATATGCTGAAAATGTTGTATATTTTCTTCCATACTCAATATTTAAAAGACTGCACAAAAATTCATCAATTTTGATAAGTTTTCTTTAATGCACACAGATGTGACAGCTGTCACAATACAATCTAACAAAATTGTGTGGAATGAAGTTAAAGACAACTAAGCACTGCTAGAGCCATTGTACAGAAAACTAAACAAAATTTTTGGCGACCCCAATATAAATTGTCCCAGAAAACCTCATGATTTTATGGGGTATAATTGAGGACTTCAGTCGAGAAGCCCCATCTTGTCTCTCAGGTGTAGCTGCTGTTGGCTATTTATATACAGAGCCATGGGAGAGGAGGCAGATCTGAGAATAGCCTGCACTTAAAATATCAGCCCCAGCAGATGTCATCAATTATGTTGTGTGCTGCTCAATAAGAATGGGAGGTTACTATATCAGCGCTGACACCACTTGCTGAAATATAAGCCACAGGCACGGAAGACGTAGAGCATTTCATCTTCCAGCAAATAGGAGAATTGCTGAACTGCAGTGGAAGTTGTCGGCTGCAGAGAGGTCATTTCCCCTCCTAAACTGAAAAAAGAATCGAACACGGTGCAGGTGGTTCTGTGGTTGGGGAAAAATTTCAGGGCGGGAAGCATTCCAGAGTTTCAGATGATGACGTAATGGGCTGAGGTGGAGGTAGAAGGGGCCTCATGGTGAAGGTGCGTGTGGAGTGGGCTTAACGTGGAAGGGAAGAAAAGGGGAAGGAAGACCACGTGGGGAATTTTGGTGGAGTGCAGCCAGAAAGGTGGAGCTGAGGCAGGCTGTGAAGGATATGCCAGTCTCTAAAGTCTGAACTTTGTTTTATTGGCACTGGGGAGCCATAGAATGTTTGGGAGCAGAGGAGTGACCGCTGCGGGCAGTATTTTAGAGGACTTAATCTGGTGACTCAACAGCTGTGATTAGGAATCCAAGACATACCTGGTAAATCATGTCCCCCCCTGCAGGGCTCTTAGGGAGCTCCTCCATTGCATCATTAACCAGCTTGGAGTTTGTCCTGTTTCAGGGTGGTCAGATTTACCACTCAGTGTTTGGGTTGACCTCTGAAATGCCCCGGTAGCTCCCGATTATCTTAAGCGTTGGTGTGAACACTTAGGACACTAATTGTATTCGAGAAGGTTTGACTTTGGGTGGTGGGTGCACAATGCAACACACAGATGATATATCATGGAACTGTACACTTGAAACCCCTATACTTTTATTAATTGCTGTTACCCCAATAAATTTAATAAAAAAGGATGTTTATTCCTTTTTTATTAAAAATTACTCTCTCTGCTTAAGGATATTTACAGAAATTGGACCAACAGGACTTCATAGAAGGAGCACTTGCCATGTAATTGGCTCCAAGGCACTTAGCAGGAAAGTGCCTTGCCTGCCAGGCTCTTTCCGCGGGGCAGAAGGTGTCTTTCCGTTGTGATCTTTAAGTGAATCGTTAATGCTTCCGTCAGTGGCGTATAAGAGCCATCAGGCTTTTCTAAGAAGAATTCTTTCTGAGATTTGGGTAGAGTAGGATATCCTTTTTGATTGGAATGATTTAATGCCAAATCTCACAGAAGGGACAGACAGGAGTTGAAAACTTTCCTATGTGATATCCTCAAAGACAGGTACCTGCGGAGAGAGTGGGGTAGGTGCATCATTTGAGAGGGCAACGGGCAAATGCGAGTGGTTTCCTGACCTGTGTAGGCGGGAGGAGTGGAAGTGGGCGTGGAGCAGATATAAGGCTTCTGTCTCTGAAAATGGCATCTGGTCTAGCCAGATGCTTCCCCGAGAAAAAACCGTAGTCAAGTAAGTTTGGGACACACCCCTATGCTGTCCATCCCTTGGAGATTCACAATGCTCATTAGCAATTCAAAAGCTCTAAGAAATCTTTTGGTAAAACCTGTTTAACTTACCACTTTTCAAATTAGCCTTTGACCACACACTTTTTTTCTTTCATTCCACACCTATCAGTTACCCAGAGAAAACAGTGTATTCTATGGGATACACTGTGGTAGGTGCAGTCTGGGGTCTTGGGCTTTGCAGTCAGATTCTCCCAGGTCAGAACTTGACTGCCAGTTACTGGCTGTGTGACTCCAGGCAAGTTGCTTAACTTCTCTGGTTCTAAGCCTTCCCTCCTGGAAAGGCAGCAACAAAAACATTGAGATGAAATGAGTTAGTATGCCTGGCGTATATGGGAAGTGCTCCATAAGCGCTGTTTTAGCAAGTGATTGGTCTTTTTCTACTCACCCTCTTCCCACGGAGCTGCCTCTCCCTGTCGCTTCCCTCCCTTCCCACTCAGTGTTTTTCTCTTTCACCTTTTATTCCCGCCTGGGGGCCTTTGGCGTTGTAATCCTCTGAAGCTCTCAGGGCTAAATTGGAGCTGGCTTGTTTTATTTGAGGCAGTTCACTATAGGGGTGCACCCCAGATCCTCATTATTGGGGCTCAAGAGGTTTGGGCTCTTAATGTGTTCATTCATTTATTTTATAAAGTCACCAAGTGCTCAATGTTTAAGCTCGCTGTGCTAGATAATAGGGACCACACTAAGGAAGGCCTCTCTCTGGGACATTCCAGGTTACCGATCATAAGTCATCTAAGGTCTTACACAGGCGTCACATGTGTTAGTACAGTGGTTCCCCCTTATCCATGGGGGATACGTTCCAAGATGCCCCATGGATGCCTGAAACTGCAAACAGTACTGAATCTTATATATACTGTGTTATTTCCTATACATA